GCGCCACCGCGGATTGCGGCTCGGGCGCCGTGGAGTGCAACGGCGCCGGTGCAACCCCGCCCGCCACCCTGGCGGAGTTCACGCTGAATGGTGCAGGCGGGCTTGATTTCTACGATGTCAGCCTTGTTGATGGCTACAACGTGCCCATGTTAATCACCCCACAGGGTGGAGCAGGCAAGTATTAAATATATGAATGTGCATAGAAATATCAAAATCTAAAATAGAATTTCAACTCAGTCAGTAAAGATATTATTTTAACACGAACAATATTAATAACTTCTAAAGTTAATATGAAACTTTTTCGTTAATGGATATTTAAAATAAAATAAAATTTGAACGTGATCATTAATAATAACATATTAATAAATATGTCAATGGATATTTAAAACTTTAAAAAGCAGGTGTAGGCAACTGCACGACGACTGGGTGCACGGTGGACTTGAACAGCGAGTGCCCCATGGAGTTGAGGGTGGTGGTGAGCGGCGGGGACGGGCGGAGCGTGGCGTGCAAAAGCGCGTGTGAGGCGTTCGGGGAGGCACAGTATTGCTGCAGTGGGGAGTATGGGAACCCGAATACGTGCCGGCCGACGTCGTACTCGGAGCTGTTCAAGGCGGCGTGCCCGTCGGCTTACAGCTACGCATACGACGACGGGAGCAGCACCTTCACCTGCGCCTCCCCCGCCGATTACCTTATCACTTTCTGCCCTTCTCCCACGACCAGGTCTGTTCTTATTTTTATTACTCTTTTCAGTGTTCATATTGGTGTTGCAAGAAAATGGATTTCATTGAAGAAAATATTTCCAACATATCTTCTACCACTATTCAAAATTTTCTTCACTTGAAAAAAAGTAATATATATATATATATATTTTGAAAATCATAATAAATGAGATGAAATAACAATGCATGGCGTTTGAAACATAGGACCTCTGACTCTCGTACCACGTTCAGATACCACGTTAAGATGAATAAACCATCAAACTCAAAAGCTTAAACTTATGAATGGGGTAAATTTAATTCATAGAACCATCCGAGTATTTTAACTTTTTTTTTTTAATTTTATGGTAAAATTTGTTGATATTTTTTCAGAGAATTTATATTTCAGGTCATGTGGAATTTTTATAGCTTAATTTTGAAAGTTTATTATTGAGTCAAAGCTTTGTTTTTATTATTATTATTATTTTATTTTTATCAGTTCAATATATGATGGGTGGGAGACCACTTTTTAGGATAATAAGTATTTTTTTTTCTCACCAATTTAAATTTGTTTAGTCGGGCATTTCCATAACCTTCATTTAAAGCATTTTTATGATTTAATTATTTTAGTTTTGTAGAGGCAGTTAATTGCACACCACAATATTTTGAGTTTAGGATTTAGTATGATTAAATTGAAAATTTAAGATTGAAAAAAAAAAAAAAAGCAAGAGTAAAGTGCATGGATGAAGGTTTTTAAAAAATATTTATTTAATGTATTTTCTTTCAATTTAAAGATTTTTGTTTGCCCATTATTTTCTATCACTTCATCAGTAACTTTGCAGCATGGGCATTATTGGGGATATCATTTCTTTTAATAATTATTATTTCAACCATATATCTTATATACAAATTAATTAGATTTCATCTCTAGAATTGTTTGAAAAATGTGATTTGATTTTCGGGGTATTTTAAATTTTGGTGTAAGGAAAGGGAAGAGTTTTTATTTATTTAAATTTCATTTGGAAATTAAATTGGTCATATTGGCCTTTGGAAGTTGAATTTTAAAAGATTTTTTAATAGTAAAAATGTGTTTGACTAACCTTTTTTTTTCCTTACAAAAATTTGTTTTTAACTTTTTTTTTTTGCAAAGGAATTTGTTTTTAATTTTCTTTGTTCCTATGATAAAGTTAAAGAGCAAGTAGTCACCCTTAAAAATATAACCCTAAGTTTTAGAATGATTTTTTTAAATTAAAGTAAAAGTAATATTGAAGTTCTAACCAAAATTTAAGAATAAAATACATCCTTGAAAGTTACTTCTATTTAAAAAAAATATCAATTTTGATTAAAATAAAATAAAATAAAGCTTTTAAAAGTAGATTGCAAAAACACGCCAATAAGTTATTATTTTGTTTTTTTTTTTTTAACAAAAGATATCATCATCATACAAGTTGTATAGTACTTCCAATTAAAAAATTGTTTTAGTAAGATTTAAGTTACTTTAAAAATATATAACATGATACTATTTTTATGTATGTGAAGTGAAAAAACTTCATCAGAAAAACAATAATAAAATAAAAGATATAAATTCACAAAATTTGAAGATATAAATCTAGTCCTTTTTTCTAAATCCTCCAACCAAATGGTTAACAATTCTATGGGTAAAAGTTAAGGTTCTGGGTGAATCTAGTAACAACATATTCGAAAAAAAAAAACCGACTTATCAATTAAATATTTAGTTGAATCTAAAATACTTTTAATTAATTTAATAACATATATGTTGTATAAATTTTATCTTACAATATTATATAATTCATAAAATATTATGTTATACCTATTTTAATTTTAACACAAAGAAATAATACATTTACCAAAGTTTTCGTCTTCTTAAATATTTTGCCACATAAAAAAATGTTATTTTTAATAGAATTTTCATAATTCTATTAAAAGTAACTAAATGGACCTGCAACATTCACTAAATCTATTTGATTCTATAAATTTAAAAAAATTAGATTTACTATCAAACGACTCTTAGTTATCTCCTTTTCCCCTCCCTAAATTTTTTTTTGTCACAAGAAAAATATAAAAAAGAAAATATTGACAATCCTAACAAGTTTTATATATATATATATATATATATAAATAAAGCAAGCTGTGAAGTTAGTATCTTGCACGAACAAAATTGTTGTTGACCTAAAATTCCATTGGTTATATTTGAAATGTCGGTCTGATTTTATTTGGGTTCTCTCCCATTTCCATCTTCCAAATTCTCGTCTCACGTCTGTTTTTTTTTAATTATATATATATATATATTTTTTCCAAACAAATTCAAGTGTCAATTATTTGAATTCTTTAGAATAATGATTCAATGAACATCAATAATTGGAGCCAACTCATGAATTGTTAGACATATTTTATTTTTGTATAATATCATTGTGATCATATTTGAGAGATTGTTTGCTTATATAAAAGCTCATATAAAATAAGATATCATCTTTTAACGAAATTATAATATTTGGCAAAATTAGTTACGTTGCCATATTTGCAAATCTATCTTACAAAAAAATAATTTGTAAATATGTCATTTTTAATTTGGATTCCGCTTAAAATTGTAACATATTTACGATTTTTTTTCTTTAATTTGCTATTATTGTGGACTGCATTATAATATATGCAATTGTCTTCATTTTTTTAAGAAGGGTTGGTTATTGAATTTTGTATTTAAATCATAAGTTTAGTTTATAAATATTGTTTAATTCACATGTTACATGTTATGACGGTGCTTATTAGAATCAGAATCGAGAGTGTAGTTGAAACTTTTTATAACTGAAAGATTAAATTTATAAATTAACTAATGTTTATCTTAAGATAATCGGATTTTTAATTTGTGGGATTATGCAGCTTGAAATCATCAAACGGGCAGTACCCGCGGGCAGTGGACGTCTCAAGAGCCGGGCATCACGGCACGCCGTTAACGTCCGTAGCCGTTATCTCCGCCGTTACGGCAGCTCTAAGTCAGCGGTTGTTGCGGCTCTTTTAAACCTGCCACCGCACACGGCCATTGGGCCCATCTTCAGAAGTGGGCCGCCGGCCCATCATTTGAGCCCATATAACATGAGTTAAAAGATTTTTGTTTTGTTTTTTTTAATACACATGAAGTTAGAGATAGATTCATCCATGCACACATATTTTGATGTAAGTTTTGTTGTATAGTATCAGATTTTGAAGTTTTTTTTTCCTTCTTAAATTTTGCGTAATTTCCAAATTGGTGTATAATTTAAATGAGTTTTGTTTGGCCGCTAACTTGAGTATAGTTGAACTGATATATATATCAAAAAGTCAAAAGTTTAAATCCAACCTTCTGAGGTTGTTGAAAAAAAAAAACTTTGTTTGGAATGATTCTTTAAAATGAGTTTAGTTAAGCAAAAACACATATGTACAACTAGAAGATTGTGAGTTCGAATCGTCCACCCCACATATCGTACTAGGAAAAAAAAAATAGTTGAAAGGCGAAAAACACTGAGATATTTTGATTTTTTCTTTTCTCAAATAAGTCCATCTCTAAATTTTAAAATTCTCACACTTTAGCCTTGAGTTTGATTTAGGTGTCATTTTAATTTTGAAAGGCAAATGTGGCTATTCCCGCTGTATTTGTCGTATATTCTACAAATATGTGTGAATGCTCTTTTTATATTTTTGCTTCGTTTATCATTTGATTTGAACCTTAATATTATTATCAAGAATGTTGAATTTGGACGATTCATCTAAAAGAATCTCATATCATTGGAGCTATTGTCATTACTTTATATTTAAGATCTTCCCAATTTCCATAAATCGATCTAAGACTATATTCTCATTTCTAACCTTCTCCTATGTTTTAATATTACCCCATTATTCATCAATATCCACCATTCAAGCTCAATGGATATGACAATGGATATATCATAAAAAAACATAAACATTTTCATCCACTACTCTTTCTATTCTTTTTTTAGCTGTTTCATAAAGCTTTGAGACTACTAATAGAAAAGACATTTAAGCTTGAGAGAGAGGCTTGAAAAAGTATGGCCAACTTGTTGAAAGCAAGCTCTCCTCCACTCCAAGATCTCTGCTCTAAATCTTTTTGATTAATTCTCTCATGGGGTTGAGAGTGGATTGTACACTTTAATATGCTTTTTTGACTCTCCCACATCACTTTGGCGCTCTAGACTCTACTTTCCATCTCTTTTTCTTGCCCTTTTTAGATTCTCTTGCTCCTGGCTTCTTTAGTCTAAAGTTCGCTCGTGAAAACTAAGTGTTGTAGTACGTTGGAGGTTAGTCGAAGTGTGCATAGACTGACTCATCGACTAATAGATGTAAACAAAATCCACTTTGGTGTTTTATGTTTTCTTTTTCAAAAACGACGAAAATGTTGACATATTGGTTCAAGAAAGACTTGGAGAGGGGTGAGAGGGAAATCGAAGTTTTTAAAAATCAAATGTTCAAAAATTAGTATAGTAGAGTTAATCTGTATAGATGCAACAACATATAAATTATAAGTGAAAACTGCTTATGCCGAATCTTTTATATAAATGGTTTCGGCTATAAAAAATTTTCATAGCATGAACACATAATGATGGAGGACATCTCTTTCATTTTATCTAAAATTTCCTATCCTTTGATTTTAAAAACCTTTAATCTAGTAATGGAGGCAATTTTTGTTGAAAAGCTACATGATTTTATTTTATTTTCTAAAGAAAGGATAATATGAAAATTAAGTGAATGAATTAGAGGGAACTTTTTGAAGGAAACACATATATTGATATATATCATATCTCATGATAAATAATTTATAGACCAAAGCCATTGAACTCCATACTTTTGTCTTCCTTTCCTCATGATAATTGACTTGATCTCTCCCCCCTTAAATTTATCTTCCCTTTTGACTCCAATTCCCTTTCACATTTCCTTTTTCCCCTTTCTTCATTTGCATCTTTAATTCTCCTTCTTCTGGGAGTTTTCTATCTTATCATTTTTTTTCATCGTTTCCATTGAAATATATATAGATTATTGATTATCGCTGAACTAAGTTCATCTTGATAACTGATTAGTTGTTGGTCCCATAACGCACGTGTTAACTAATAAACCTTGAGCCACATCATAAGAAAAAGGGAAAAACAAAAGTGGACTCTTGCTGCTCGCTTTTTTCTCGCTTCCGAGAGGTCAAGATGTCAATCGACAACTATATCTGGTAGAACAAGAAGGGTAGGAATGCTCTTTTTTCTCATTTATGTATTGATCTGAAGTTTATTTATTTACATATAGTAATTGGATAAACAACATCAACATCAACGTTGTTTATCATATTATAGATCAATCCACATCAATATTGCCTACAATTTTTCATTATAGACAATGCTCACCCCTCATATTATATTTTCATTCTATAGTCTCATTCTATAGTCATTGGAACTTTGGTCGCATCCCAACAATCCTCTCTAATCCCTTTGAATTGAGTACAATCGAGCTTCAATTCAAACAAAATATTCGTCCAACTTCTAGTCATACTCCTCTTCTCCAAGAGCACATCACATATCTGATAGAGCTCAATCACATCATAACTGCATCTTTTGAAGCTCATCACTCTTTTTGTTTGGCACTCGAAAATTTTACCTACATATATAGCTAAGTTGTTAGAGACATGACTTTTTGATACTACGTTTTTTTTTTTGAAATACAGTGCAGGGTGGGGATTCGAACTCACGACCTCTTGGTCGGAGATAAGAGTCATAATCAATTTAATCAAGCTCAGGTTGACTTTGATGCTACTTGTTGACAATATAACCCTCCACATTTAATTTCTACGATGATATAATATTGTCTACTTCCACTACTCAAACGGTCTTGTACTAGTATAGATGTTGGTTCTCATCATCTTCCTCTTATCTAGTCAATGCGAGATTTTTGTCACATTCACAACAATAATCATGAGAACTATATATTGATTAATAAATTAAAAAAAATATAATATGAACACGAAAAGGACAAATACACGAAAAATACACAAATGGAACGTATAATCCACATGTAGATGTGCTAATTTACCAATCCCGGTGTTAGTTTAGCCTAACTTTCCAACATTAATTAATCACATAACATAACAGACAAACCCTAAACTTAGCTTTTCTTCAACGTAAGAAAGGAAATTATCCTTTTTGTATATCTATACAAAGAGAGAGATGGGAAATGCTTGAGAAGAAAAGGATGATACAAAATCCCTTTTTAAGGAAAGAAGTAATTAATTTAAATTAATTTATAAAAATTCATCATCATATAGTGGAAATGACGCAAATCTTTAAGAAAAGTATATGACAAAATCTCAAATTAAATTATTTATGTCACATTATAAAAGAAAAAAAGGGGGTGAAAAGGGAAGAGGGGTTAAAAATGTTATCTCCTCAAAGGTGACTTTACACCGCATACTACACGTCGGCAAAAGGCTGCCCATGAATTGTCGTTCACAAAAAGTGGTGTCGGTTTCCAGAATGAAGCAACTTTTTTTTTCCCTTCTCTCTAGACTTTTCATGCATTGAGTCTTCTTATCGATACGTAGTTAGCGATTTTAATAAAGCCTTTCTTGCATGATAAGTATTCTTCTTCTTATTTTATTTTATTTTATTTTTTCCTCTTCTTCTTCGTGACTAGACTTTTCTCTTTTTGAATAGGACAGACATTTGTGACGTACGTAATGCGTTTACGTCCCAAAAATTACAACGTTTTGAGAAAATGTCGCTATTTTCCTGTCGTATAGAGTTAAGTTTCTTGTTGTGTTGTAATAATCTAAATACGACGTAGGATAAACTTGAAAATTAAAGTAATGTGGGCTTGATATAATAGTATTAATTAGGACTTCAATCGTTTTTAATGTATGTATATATATATATGTAGAATAAAATGTAATTTTTTTTTAATTTGATTAAGGTTATTATTATTATTATTATTATTATTATTACACATTCACACGCTAGAACTGACTATGAATTGATTTGGTGACGTTAGAACATGTGTAAAAAGTAAATAAATATTTTTAAGATTGAATAGTTAAATTAGTTGGGTGGATGCAAAGTTAATCTGAACACTTATTGATAGAAAAATAAAATAATGAAAAAGGAAAATCAAAAGTACTTTATGTATTATTCTCAAGGAAGGGAAAAAAAACTTACTTCCTATGTTTAGTGTTCAGTTTCTTTTATATTTTGAAAATTACTTTTTCTATTTTTTCTATATGTTTTATTTTACAATAAAGTATTTTTCACTTTCCTTCGCCTTTATTTACTTGAAAATTAAAGGTATTATTTATAATTTAAAATATATATGCCAGCTAATCAAGATATAGGAAATAAATATTTGTTAATATTGTAATTTTTTGATAACATTAATATTGTAAATTAATTAGTAAAATATGTAAAATTGGGACAACCATGAAACCCATTAATGATTCATAAATTTTAACTAGTTTATACATATCACATGGGTGGCACACAAGTCATGACTTTATAATACTAATTCAACTTAGAAGAATAACTAATTAAAGGTGGATTTCTTCAAAAAAAAAAAAAAACTAATTATAATATATGGTCGATTACCATGAACCTTCTTTAATTAAAAAAGTTTAACTACTGATTAAGAATATTAATTAGGTATTTTTAGGGGAAAAAAGTAAAAAAAAAAAACATTAATTAAGAAACTAAAATTGTCAGTGTAGTCCCTGTCACACTTGCATGGTTTTTTAATGATGAGCATAATTCATGCTATTGTTAGGTATTAACTTTTTTTTAAGCAGGTATTATTAAGATCCAGTTGAATATTTTAATGGTGAAACTTAGTATAGTTCAATTGGTTAATATAATATATCAAAGCTGAATATTTTAATTTAAGATCTTGATTGGTTTAAAATGACAATGAGGATGTTAAGGATCATATATCGAAAAGATTAGGTTTATAACTTCTTTTATTGTCAATTGATTTTGAGTTGGAATCTTATGAATGTTAAGATAGAATCAGAGTTTAAGAAGTTTAAACGAACATCCATTAAAAAAAAAAAAAAGGAAGCACATGTTAAAGATCTCACCTCGAAAAGACTTAATTAAGTTTTTATAAATATCTCACCTCGAAAAGACCACCATTTTGTAAATTTAAAATATTAGGATAAT